AGTTCAATAAAATCAATATTAATTGGTCCCCTCGGTAATTTGAAGTTGAAGGAATAGTATCTTACCACAAATGAACGTTTGTGAATAACTGTACAAATGTTTAAAATTATAAATCACGAAATTTGATAAAACTCTTGTTTACTTGATTTTATTAATATGTAAAATTCTATCTGAAAATTAAAATATGAGGGAAAATGTTGCCGGCGACTTTCTAAAGCCAGACAAGCCCGCGAACTAACTAAACAATGTTTAGCTCAAATTTCCCACGTAGAGCAAGGCAAGGAGATCTCTTACTTCCCTACGTCCTCAGAACCTACACAAGTGAAGATTTCTTCGCAGCTCTCATTACTATCGAAAATTCAGTGGACAATGATAGACTGAAGTCGCCCACTCAACAAAATAATATGGACTTCTTTTTAAAATGAACATTTGTGAATAATTTTACAAGTGTTCAAAGTAATCTATATTGTAGCGTAGCAAAAAGGTAGAGTCGGTAATCCGTAAACAAAGAACGTTATTTTAATAACCAAACAAAACGAGGTCAAAAGAAGAACAACCGAAAAGTATGAACAACTAAATGAATACACGCAAAAGTATACATAGGAATCAAAATAGAACAAAAACCTATGCAAAAATCAGGCATTAAAAATAAATTAAAATATTTACATAAAAACCAATTACTCGCTACATAGCCCCCCTCTCAAAGGACATCGACCCGATGTTCAGCAGGAGACCTGCGCCTCCAGTCTACGAGCCCGCGACCGCGTAACAGGGCCAGGGATATCCAGGTCTCCCGGTCTGGGGACCTCCTCCTGGGCCAAGGGTGGTCGCCTCCCCTCCACTGAAACTTCTTCCCCTTGAGGACTTGATAAGTTGTCCTCCATGTCCTCCTCCAGGTGGTCCTCGACTAGGAATTCCTCTAAAAAAAGTTTATCTTCTGCAGAATCAATTACCGCCCTGGACAACTTCAAAAAGTCCCATCCGAGGATCACATCGTGACTACAGTCCTCCAGAACAATAAATTCGAAATTTTCCTGCAGACCATTTAAGTCCAATTTTAAAGAGCAGCGTCCCTTCGGTTTTATAATTTTACCGTTGGCCACTCTTAAGCTCACGTCAGTTTCGGCAAACATTATTTTCTTCAATTTGAGTCTGAACCTCTCGGACACGACAGAATAAGAAGCCCCAGAATCAACAAGAGCACTAGTTATATTTCCTTCTATTTTAATATTTATATAATTTCCTTTCATATCCACTGTAGTCGATGAGGGAGGGTTTCCAAATTTTGCGGCCCCACCTCCAAAATAGGTCGCAACCTCTAGTTTTCCTGGCGGGAACGGCGAGGTGACCGACTGGACCCTCTAATAGGCGACGAATGTTGTCCGTTTCGGCCAGGGTATGGGGAAGGGCTTCGGTAACGTCTAAAATTATCCCTTGGCTCGTCGTCATTGAGCGCCGGGAATTTGGGACGGGATCCATAAAAGAACATCGGCTCTTGCCTCCCTTGGGAATATCCGTTTTCTCTTTCGTCATTCTGTCTCCTTCTGTCACGGCAGTTACGGGCGACATGGCCAGGGCGTCCGCAATGGAAGCAAATTGGTCTTCCCTCAGTGGTCCGCCATTCACTTGTGTCCAGTCTTTCTCCCTGTTTCGGGTACCGAGCTCTGGGACGGGGAATCTGGGGTGCGGCCGTCTCTCTTCTAGCGATTGGTGACGGCGTATAGGTTCGATATTTAGGGGAGCCTCTGGAAGGATTTGTTATTGGAGCGAGGGTTTTATCAATTTCTTCCCTCACCATATCTTCAATGGTGGCGATTCTTGGTTCTTCTCGAGGAGCGGCCAAGGCCCGTTGCACCTCCTCGCGGACAATTTGTCTAATCATTGATGACAAATCTGTATTATCATTGCAGACATCAAGGGATGCTACATTGGGCAAGCGTTCGTACTTGGCGGGGGTCACACGCCGACGATGAAGCGCTTCAATGCGGCGGCACTCAGACACAAATTGATCCGTATTGTTTATGTCTTTTGGAAGAAGCGCCTGATAAAGTTCCTCCACTATTCCTTTCATGAGGTGGGAGATTTTATCCTCCTCGCTCATTTGGAGATCCACCTCTTTGCAGAGTCGTAGGACGTCTTGTATATAGAACTCGGTGCTTTCACCCTTTAACTGAGCCCGGATTTTAAGTTTTTTCTCGGCAAGCAGCCGCAGACTCTCACTTTTCCCAAATACACTCTCTAATTGAGTAGTAAACTCTCCCCAATTCCGGATGGTCTCCTCATTATTCTCAAACCACTTGAGGGCAGTTCCATTCAGGTAAAAGTAGACATTGGCAAGACAGAGGGTTTCGTCCCAATGATTATACTTTGCCACACGGTTGTAACCTTTCAACCAGGTAAGGGGATCCTCACCATCCTCCCCGGAGAACATGGAAGGATTCCTTGGTAGGTGCTGAACAAAATAATTGCCCACCTGGGTAGCTTCCTCTTTTTTCACGGTCATCTCCTTGAGCTCTACCCTATCCTCCCGTTTAACAGTTTCAGTCCTTCTCTTATGTCTGAAGGGATATCGGTCTTGACGATCCAGCGTCTCCACCAGTTGTAGCGTAGCAAAAAGGTAGAGTCGGTAATCCGTAAACAAAGAACGTTATTTTAATAACCAAACAAAACGAGGTCAAAAGAAGAACAACCGAAAAGTATGAACAACTAAATGAATACACGCAAAAGTATACATAGGAATCAAAATAGAACAAAAACCTATGCAAAAATCAGGCATTAAAAATAAATTAAAATATTTACATAAAAACCAATTACTCGCTACAATATATATAAAAATGAATGTATGTCTGTTTGTTTGTCCTTTATGCCTGACCAAACCACTCATTGGATCGCCATGAAACTTTGGGAAGTTATTTAGTATAGTACTGGGAAGGTTTCTAGCAAATAAAATTTTTGAAATAACTTTTCGCCTAGATATAATCAAGATAAATATTCTAATTTATCTGTTATAATTCAACAATCTGCTCTAAATATTATCATGATGATACGATGATTTTGTAATGTAGAAAATTAGGAAAGACAAAATTCAGGATGACACGGCAATTTATTTGAGACAAGAATAATGATACAATTCCAAGGCAAGATACTATTCCTTTAACTTCCAATTACGGAGGGAACCAATTAATAATGATTTTATTCAACTTATCGAGTATTTTTCAAGGGACCGGGAAAAAATGTTCACTTTATCGAGAGATTCGTTAGACAAACCTTTACTCGGGTAAAATCCGGGCGAAGCCGGGAATATCCATTTCGTAGCTACACCGTCTCTCCAAGAGGCAGTCTCTTATTAAAGGTCTATTAGAGATTCTTTAATAGCAATTAGAATCTTCAATGAGAGACCACCAACAGGAGAAACAAGTTGATTCATGTTTTTAGGTGGTCTTTCTTAAGAGACTCTATTTACATATTTAAAATATGAAAAAATTAAAATATTTTAAAATTAAAATATTTTAAAATCAACATTTTCTTACTGTTACGTTTAATTACTGTTAATATCTATATATATATAAATGAATGTATGTCTGTTTGTCCTTTATGCCTGACCAAACCACTCATTGGATCGCCATGAAACTTTGAGAAGTTATTTACTATAGTACTGGGAAGGTTTCTAGCAAATAAAATTTTTGAAATAACTTTTCGCCTAGAAATAATCAAGATAATTATTCAAATTTATCTGTTATAATTCAACAATCTGCTCTAAATATTATCATGATGATACGATGATTTTGTAATGTAGAAAATTAGGAAAGACAAAATTCAGGATGACACGGCAATTTATTTGAGACAAGAATAATGATACAATTCAAAGGCAAGATACTATTCCTTTAACTTCCAATTACCGAGGGAACCAATTAATATTGATTTTATTCAACTTATCGAGTATTTTTCAAGGGACCGGGAAAAAATGTTCACTTTATCGAGATATTCGTTAAACAAACCTTTACTCGGGTAAAACCCGGGCGAAGCCGGGTACATCCATACAAGAATAATGATACAATTCCAAGGCAAGATACTATTCCTTTAACTTCCAATTACCGAGGGAACCAATTAATATTGATTTTATTCAACTTATCGAGTATTTTTCAAGGGACTGGGAAAAAAATGTTCACTTTATCGAGAGATTCGTTAGACAAACTTTTACTCGTGAACATTTGTGAATAATTGTACAAGTGTTTAAAGTAATAAATAATGAATTTTGAGTTCAAAATCTTGTTTGAGAAAGGTAAAATCCGAAAGCGCGCGCTCCCAATAAATTTATTACTTTAAAAACTTGCGGTAAGTCACTTATATAATATTGTATCAACATAGTATGCATATCCCGAAACGGTCAAAACTTCAAACCCTTGGTTACTGGATTTTTTCCCCTCATTCCCTCTTAATTGTTTAAACTCTTGTTATTTTGAACTCGTGATAAATTAATATTTTTCTCTGGTCCGTTGAGTTTCAAATTATAATTTGAAATCTCGATAATTATCGAGAGTCGAATGTAATTAAATTTGAAATTCTTTGAAATTTTTTAATCGGTGAATTTTTAAAAATTACATTCTAATCATCATTTTATCTTGCTTATTTGTTCTTGTTTTCTTTGAAAGAAAAACGCTTGTGGTCGTTTTGAAAACTTTTCTGTCTTAAAAAATATATATATTTAAATTAAACATATTTTATCAAGGTAAATATTATAAGATTGAAATAGTTTATTGTAAGTCTTGATTGAGACAATAGAACATAGAAATTCACTCATCAAATAGTTTGAGTTTTTTAAGGAAAAAGGTTATAAATATCAATGGCGGTTGATTATTAAAATGACATTGATTTTTAATTTTAATGCCAAAAAAACTTTTTTAAATTGGTTCAGTAGTTTTTGAGTTTATCGCGAAACAGACATGACTTTTATATATATAGAGATAGGTGATTGAGTTTTAAAAATTGTTTTAAAAAAATGCATCGGCCGGGAATCGAACCAGGGCCGCCCGCGTGGCAGGCGATCATATTACCACTGAACCACCGATGCTTATAAAAAATGGCCATATTTGGGTATTCATTCCATTCCAGATTATTCCGCGTAAAAAAAGGTTATTCAAATGAAAAAAAGAAATGCCCAAAAATACTAATCAAAATGTAGCCGAAAGTTTTCCTCAGGTTTATAAAAAGCGACATGCAAAATTTGGTATCAATTGGTTCAGTAGTTTTTGAGTTTATCGCGAAACAGACAGACAGAAATTGGCTTTTTTATATATATAGAGATAATGGCTCTACAACATGTACTTTGGATAAGTACCATCACATTTTGCACACAGTCTTCGGTGTGATGCACACAGATATTTGATGTGAAGTTATTTTCATAAGTTGATTCTATTGAAAACCTATCTGTACTGTAAAAAACAGTACAAAAGTGAAATTTTACTGGAATCGAGGGATTAAATTTTAAAAAGTTGCTGGTGGCTTGCGCTATCTGTTGGAATGGCACAAACCATTAGCAACTTTTAGTTGCATAATAAGGAGATGCTCTTTTTCTTAACCTATCTGCATACCGTGTTGTTGACAGCAATGTATGTGGCAGATGATTATCCCAGTGCGATGCTTTACTTGCGGCAAGGTGATTGGCAATAAGTGGGAGGCTTACTTGGGGCTTCTTCAAGCTGAGTACACTGAGGGGTGAGTATTCAATTATTGTCTGTTAGGGGCAGATTATCCTTATCTCTCTGTTAATGCATGAAAGGAATGCACGCCCTGTGCATTTGTTTTAAATTTTCCATGATTATTTTTCAATATACAATAAAACCCCTCTATAGTGAACCCCAATGGGACAGAGCTTTTGGTTCACTATAGCCACGGCTTGGCTAATTTTTTTTTACTTTAAAAAATGTTTAGACCTTATAATTAAAGGACAGCCATACACATTGGAAGAGGTTGCCTCTTAATAGTGGTCACTTTGTTTTAATTCCCTTAATTGACCAATTTCCTTATATTAATACTGAAAAATAAAAGAAATCATTAGATGATAGGTTCTTCTTGTCATTGAGATACATACATGTACCTCTATGTCTAATTTCAAAATCAAGACAAATCCTAGGCAAAGTTTTATTAAATATATATTCAAAGATATAAAATGATTTTAAAACATCTTTATCACATTATATAATACAATGTTTACTTGAAAATATGGCTCTAATACCTTGTTGCTTTAAAGCACTCTTCAAGCATTGCACCTTTCAAATAAAGATAATAAGTGTTTTTCTTCCATTTTCTTTCATGTTTCCATATATTGGAACCGACCTTCTTAAGTCTAGATTTCTTTTTGTTTTGAACCTGTCATGCAAACCATTGCTGGCTTTAAAATCGCCATAGTTCATGGCATAAAAAATAAATTTTGTTGCATCACGGGCCCATTTATTTGGACCTTTTTTTTTTTTTTTTTTTAGCCCTAACACATACGATCGCGGCAAAAGTTGAGGTTGATTCCTCTTTGTAAACAATTATAATAGATAGGAGCAGGCCGGGGCTACACAGATATGCAAAAAGATCACCAGACACGGACCAATCACACAGAGAAAGCTTTAAGCGTCTCTGCACAACAACTCTCTGGAAGAATTCTCGCATTACCTTTGAAATCCCTTTTACGTACAAACATGGCCACATTCATCCAATGAGAAGGTGTATTCGCTAATCGAATACCAAGCATTTTCCCAGCTAACTCAAGTTGAGGTTGATTCCTCTTCGTAAACAATTATAATAGACTGCTAATTTATCTCTTATAATAGAAAATATATATTTTCTTATTTTAACATGACCTGAAATTTTGCCTGTGTTGTTTCACTTCAAAAAGTTTTGAAAGTGGCCTTTTTTTAAATTATTATTTCAAGTAATAACGTTTTTGTTTTTAGAATGCCTTTGTTTTCTTTATTATGGAAGCCATTTGCATTTTTTCTATTTCAAATTTGATGGTTGCAAAGATATTCTATTTAATAAAAAGTATAATGTGTAAAAATTTATACAAAATACAGCAAAAATTGAATGTAATTGAAAACAAACAATGGTGCTAAATTTATTGTTTTGAAATCGCTTTCCGCGAGCTGAAACATGCTCAAAATTTTGTTATTTTAATTTTTTTTTTAATTACAAATATAAGTTCGTTATTAGCATAGTATTTTTAATAGATTTTATTATTTTGGGACCTAAAATAGGTTCGTTATATTAAAAATCGCAAAGTTCGTTATAACAATGGATTTTCAATGGAATCGGGAATCGCCTTAGGTTCGTTATAAGGGAAGGTTCGCTATATCCGGGGTTCGTATTAGCTGGGTTTTACTGTATATTTTTGTAAAAAAAGCCATAGCAGCGGTGCGCATCCATGGAAATATGGCTCAGCGGTTAAAACAAAGATTATCAACTGTTGGAGTTGTTGGCAAGTAAAGATGAAGTTTGGCATAGCATCAAGTAATTCTCTCTAAACTGTGTCCTCCTGGTGGAAGCCCTTGATCTATTGCTTTATCATCATCAATGAACAATTCCTCAAATTCCTAGGTGGGTATTTATCTCTGAAATAGGGATTTTCAAAGTTTAGCAAACCACAACCTTCCCATCTTTAATTCTTCATGGACTGGTGACAAAAGTTACTTTTACTTATTTACACACCAAAGTAAAAAGTAGCTTAACACACAGAAACACTTATATTCAAAAGGCATAGCCACAAAAAAAAAAAGGAGTGAACTTAAATTAAAAAAAAAAACACGATAAGTTATAACAAAACCAGTTCTTATATTTTATTCCAGCTTTGATAGGAGCAGACCGGGGCTACACAGGTATGCGAAGAGATCACCAGACACAAACAAAGCACTCAGAGAATGCTCCATACAACATCTCTCTGGAAGATTCCTCGCATTACCTTTGAAACCCCCTTTACGTACAAACATGGCCCCATTCATCCAATGAGATGGTGTATTCGCTAATCGAATACCAAGCATTTTCCCAGCTAACTCAAATGCTATAAAATGTTTGTCAGATAATCTGTCACTGAGGTTAAACATGTGTTGTTGCAGAGATGCCCTGGATGCCCTCGGACTGAAGAGGTACTGTTGCCGCAGGATGCTGTTGGGCCATGTGGACCTCATTGAGAAGCTGCTCAACTACGCCCCACTGGAAAAGAACGAGTTCGAAGCAGCCAATGGGAGGCCGACGGGAAGCGGCTACGGGGATGCAGCGGCTAAAATGAAAAAACAATAACAGAAGAACCTGTAAACAACATTCGAACACGAGAATTTGCCCTGATCTCCGATTCTTTTAGTGTAAATATTTTAAATATATAATTAATTAAATAATACTTTACTTATTTTCTTAAATTGTAATAAATATAATTTCCCTCCTGTTTTCGTCTAATATTTTAATCTACTTATATATTTGCCTTATTCTGTCTGTTTGTCTGTTTGTTTGTTTGTCTGAAGCTCACGGATGGGAATTTTCATAACCATCGGTGTTTCAGTGGTAGAATGCTCGCCTGCCACGCGGGCGGCCCGGGTTCGATTCCCGGCCGATGCATTTTTTTTTTTTTTACAATTTTTAAAACTCATTTATATATTATACAAGAATGACATCCACGGCGCCAATTTATAATTGTAACGAATAGTATTTGAATAAAAGCATTTAATCGGGTAAAACCCGGGCGTTGCCCGGGTCATTGCATATAATAATTGTATAAACGAATGCAAGACAAAATCACCGCGAATGTTTCTTTTTTTGAAGGCAATTTCTTTTTAAGGCAATTATCGTTATTTATCGTTAATTTTTGTTTCGATTTTATTGAAAAAAAAAAGATATGGTGCCTTTAAAAAATTATCTTTATTACTATGCAGTTTTCTATTTAGTCAATATACCTAAGTTCATGTTGCATATGTAATTATCTCTATCGATTTAGTAGGTGAAATGCAAAAAAAAAATCGACATGATGAAATCTTTATGAAAATTCACAATTTTATTTTTATATTTTCAAGACACACACAGTTTGGGGCGGGACGTTTCACAAGAGAGACATCCACGGCGCCAATTTATAATTGTAACGAATAGTATTTTAATTAAAACAATTTGAAAACACAAAGTTTGGAACGGGACGTTTCACAAGAGTGACATCCATGGCGCCAATTTATAATTGTAACGAATATTATTTGAATTAAAACGTTTTTAAAATATATACGCACTCGGGTAAAACCCGGGCGTTGCCCGGGCCATTCGTCTAGTACACCTATAATTGATGAAGTTTCCGATAAGTAGTAAATAAATAGATTCACAAGTAGATTTTACATATATGTGAACCTAGAATCATTCACGCACATGTAAATTTTCCCAAGAAAGAACCAAGATGACTAGAAACGAAATGAAGGTCTCAGCCGCCATCAATGAAATTCTTTAAAAGGCCCACAGAATTTTAAACTTGATTATGTAAAAGTTTTGTTCACAGTCAAATCTCACTATAAACAACATCACTTGTGACCAAGATATTATGTTGCTATGGCCACTGTTAAAACAATTGGAACTTGAAAAAAAAATCTTTCAAAATTACGATGTTATAATCAAGTAGCTATTATAAAGAGGTTCCACATAATATTCGATTGTTGTTAATTAGAAGTTATAGAGAAAACAAAAATTGTTCTCAATTAAAAAACCCAAGTTAATTTTTATGTAAATACTAGACGTATGACTCGGCTTCGCCCGAGAATTCCCCCGATTGCAATTTCCTTCATACTGAAAGTACATCAATAATAAATATTAGAAGTGCCATAGAATAGCAATACAGAAGTAACACATAAACTACAGGAAAAAAAGTGTGTGTGATGGCAAAAATTGTATTATATTAGTGTTTAGGTATTAAAAAAATTGTAAAAAAAAAAAAATGCATCGGCCGGGAATCGAACCCGGGGCGCCCGAGGGGCAGGCGAGCATTCTACCACTGAACCACCGATGCTTATGAAAAATGGCCATATTTGGGTATTCATTCAATTCTGGATTACTCCGCGTAAA